TGTGGATTTACCGGAAGCAGTGGAATTATGGGAGTTACAGTCCTTAAAAGGACTGTGGTAGTTAGTCAAATTATCAATTCGCTGATACTGAATCGATTCTCCATTCAATTCTCGAATATCGATTCGTACGTCCAAATATCGTTTTCGTTTGTTTTGTTTTTTTTGTTTTGAGAGAGTGGAACCTCCACTCTCATGTGCTACAAACCACCGAATGTGAAACTGACGCTCTGCCAGTCTAGCGGCAATGTTGACGACAGCGATGCAGTGTTGGGGCTGTAAGGATCCAGATATGGTGACCGTCAACGCGGCAAATATGGTCCGTGCGGCTGAGATAATGGGGCTAACGCATGTAGGCTGCTTCCCTAACATCATAAACCTCGCATCGCAAGCCGGTCTCAAACTCTCACAAGTTGCACGCCTGCTTGGGAGAGTGAGGCACATCGCAAAGTACTGTAGCGTCCGACCGGACGTATAATGAATGACGAAGCGTTATTCAACGAACCTGCATTTATGGTTGAACGTTTGATTACAGAGCTTGGTTACTGTCGGTCGTAACCACGCCAAAACAATAGAACACTCCCGGTCTCACACATCAACTCAGCTCGTGTCCGTGTTCCATTCACACTTCTCTCTCAGCCAGGCAACAGCAGCCCTCACCCTCTTCCGCTCTGCTCACACCCAAAGTCCGCAGAAATAAAAAAAAAAGCTATAAGCTTTTATTGGACTTTAAGACAGTACAGCTCAAGTTTAAAATGTCCGGTTTACATGTTTGCAATTGAATGTGTTGAATTTCTAAAGATCCCCCACAAGACATGGTGTATTTGTATGTTTCCTCAATCCTTAGGTACTGTACCTTTTATGTTCTTTATACATAAGGTACAGGTAGTTTGGATCATTTTAAGCCACTAGCCAGTCACCAGCACTTTGTTTACATTTTACACTGGCTGAATCTTTGTTACTGTTTTGTTTTCATATTGGTTAGTGACTGCAGTGGAGTCAGTCATGCTGCTTGCTGTCACACTGTTACGGCTCTGCTGGAGATTCAGCACAACATGCAGCATAAAGTTTACTGTCTGAGACCTTGATGTAAACAGAGGTGGGTAGAGTAGCCAAAAAATGTACTTAAGTAAAAGTACTGTTACTTCAGAATAATATAAATCAATAAATAAATCAAGTGGAAGTAAAAAGTAGTCATCCAAATAATTACTTGAGTAAGAGTAAAAAAGTACATGGTGAAAAAACTACTCAAGTACTGAGTAACTGTTGAGTAACATTTATTTTTTAGATTTTTTATTTTTTAACGTGCATTCAATCAGATAAACAAAAATTACAGAGGAGAGTTTATCCCATCAACAAAATAATAATTTTGCTCTCATTATCTTCACATTGTGGTGTGTTTTTATTTCTTAGCTTTTCGCATGGTTTTAATTTCTTATGGCATTTTGGGTACTTTGTAGACTTTGTCAGCGGAAGCAAACCATGTTGCCTTCAGTATTTAGAGTCGGAGAACCGCAGCCTTCTTTACAACGCCCACAATAGGGCTAAAGCGCCACCTGCTGTAAAACGAATGAAATGATTAGTTCAAGATTCGTTTACGATGGGAAATCTACTCATTATCGTTCCTCCAGTTCCTGTAAGGCCTTGAAACCTCTATGCACATATTCTCTGTTTCTGAGTTACTGTCAGGCCAGATAATCTCACAGGTGGCGATGGTACTGAAAGCACTGGCCTCCACTCATATTCTTGTATGCACACACAAATGTATCCAGCACACTATAAATGTAACATGCAGTAGTCTGAAAACTGGCGCTCTCCTACAGACGAGTGTTTGTGTTGCTCTCTGTAAGACCTGCGACCTGGAGCTTCATTAACGCCTTGATAACAACTTTCAATAAATTCTTCAATAAACTCTTTAAAACGAACAATGTTGTTCATTTTCTGTTTTATTCTTTATTCCAAGGTGACTATTGACAAAATTGACAAAACAGTGGTACCCTACATTTTCAGTAATCTTTCCAGTAATGTATACTGGCAACTTGAACTTTAATGTTAAATGTTTGTAGTTTTAAATAATATTAACCCTATAACGCCAAACGTATCATATTTGATACATGAGTTTTACAGCCCTCCACATGAGCAGTGTGATATTTTTTCCCTGAAAAACCAGATGTATACAATCAGATACATGCAGTGCACAGATAATTCAACAGGGGATAGTAATTCACTCATTAGCGGGCCTTCCAGTGACACTACAAGATTGCCATGACTCAGGATTTGGACACAGGTGGTTTTTGAAGAACTTTGACAAATTTGAAAAGGTTAAGATGAGAAAACATAGAATTTTTTACTGAAACGTCAATAGGAATAGTTACTGGGTTGATGCAATGTGAAAATACCTTTTTTCTTTCATAATCTGTGTTTTAATCTATGTTTTAGATACGTCATTTTTAGTAAAATCAAATTTTATCAAATTTGATACAGGAGGTATACGTATAAGGTCATGTAACTCTAAATCAGTCAATTGTCATTTTATTGTATTTCATGCATTATATATAACATTTTTTAATTTTTAAATTACATAATTTGGTACATTTAGAGTAACAAATAGATATGTAACTTACTGTATCATATTATATATTAATATCTTATTATATAAATATATATAATATCTTTTCTAGACTTCCACCCAGCCAGTTCCATTAGTGGATTTCTCATTACTGCATTATGGTAGCACTTGTTTTTGTTTGTTCAGGAAAAAAGAATCTTTGAACATTATGACCCGATGTATCAAACATGATACAAATTCAAACTCATATATGGAAAATTATATTTGAATTTTTTTGTTTGTTTATTCAGAGGGACCAATAAAGGGTCCAAGTTCAAAGAATTGGAATTTTCTGTCAATTATTTAATGGTTTGGGCTTTACAGGGTTAATGGTATTTGAAATCATACAAACTCAATTTAGTTTATACACTTACATTTATAACCATCAAACTAAAGCTAAAGCTATTCTTGAGGGAAACAAAAAGAGCAATTTCACTGGTAAAAGTGATGGATGGTTAAAATAATATTGTTTTATTGTTTGTTTTTTAAGTAACATTTACAAGAGTCAAACTACAGTGCATTTTTTTCTTTTTTTACAAGTTTGAAATATACTAAAACATACATTCATAAGTAATTATAATGTTTCACTGAGGTGCTTTTAAGTTTTTGAATAACTTTATTGCAAGTGATGTTAAAGGCTAAGGCTTTGCATCTGTTAAAGCTGCTTTTTTTTTTTTTTTTTTTTTTGCTTTGCCCAAAAGGGAAAATATTTGACACGTTGTTTATCTATCAAGTATAACTACTGTGCAGTTGTATAAGGTATTGACATAACTGAGCAATTTCAACACTGAATACTGCCAGTATTCCCAAGTTGGAAAGACTGATACTCCCTTCCACTGATAAGTATGTGGGAAGGGACAGATGGAAAAATAGATTTTTTTAAAAAACAAAACTCATTGATGTTTGCACCTGCTCAAATCTACAACATTAAGAGAATATTTTTCTGCTTCCAACACTAACTTACTGACTCACTCCCTCAAATCCTCTCAGATTTGCAAGTAAATGGTTGTCAAAGTGTCTAAAATCCCATTCCAGCAGAAAAAACACAAAAGATACCCGTTAGTTTCCTTTGGCTTTGAGGATTTTACATAGAAACATGTAGGATTGCTTTGGAAGTTAAGTGGTGAATCACAGCAACATTACTATAAGGAAGCAGAAATTATTGTAATTCAAAACTAGTTTGATGAAATTCTAACCTAATCACACTAAAAGGTAGTTTAATCCAACAATTAAACTGTCCTTAAGTTTAAAGATAAAGCTAACGTGCCCAAATGCCAGCCTTACTTTAGTGAACGTCTGCTTGTATTTAGAGGGTAGTGGAAAGTCTGCACTTCTTGGGTCCTTGCCAGAGTTGGGGACGTCCGTCTGGTTCCACTGGGTGCAGAGAGACCTCTTGGTCCGCTTCGGGAGGAAAAGTCTCTGATTGTTGATGTGCCGGTTCACACAATTACTTTTAGAAGGAATCCTGTCGCTTCTAAACTTTTCAATAACTGCTTTGGTCTCAGCGCTACGTTATTTGTGTAACTTAATTAATAGTTAACTCAGATGAGAAAAAGACACTACTAGAGCATTTATCACCGTGGGCAATGGTGTCTACAAAAGCGCGTTGGTTCTTCTTCTGAGACGAGCAAGTTTCTCTTTTCATCAGGAGTCCCACGCAGATCCTGAACAGAGACTGAAATTGGGGCTGACCCCCAATTTAAAGATTGCGGAGGTCACTGATCGTGACGTATGTGGGTTTCCCGGACGCAGTGGAATTATGGTCCTTAACAGGACTGTGGTAGTACCTACACACATAATGAAGGTCTCACCTTCTGGTTTATTTTTTTTTCTCCAAAAGAAAGCAGAAGAACATGTCACATGTAAACACACCAACACACAGATGGTGGAGCAGGAAGTATGGTCCACTGAGAAAATTCTAAATGTACTTTATTATTCAGAATCTCATTCACTGTCAGCTTTTATTTATGGTTGATCTCATTCATTTCATTTTCTCAGGTTTTCTCAGGTTATTCAAACTGAGTTTTTTGATAAGGTTTCCCTTTCATTGTTTAACTGAACTATGTGTTATTAAAGGCTGATACCTAGAGGATCTATCCAAGACACCTAACTTCTGTTGGAAAGTAGGATATACTTGTAATTTAATTCTTTTAACTTTTAAATTGCTAAAAATAATTTGATTTTATTTTGTTTTTTATTGTGAGTTTCAGAGTTTATTTTTTCATTGATTAGTTCTATCTTATCTTGCTTCTAATTGCATAGTTTTCTGTTTCTCCCTTTTAAACTCATATTTTCTCCTCTCAACCATTCTTTTGAAATTCCTGTTTTCAACTGACTGTTGGCCCCCACCATTTTTCAATTGTCCTTTCCTCCTTTTTTCACCCCTTCTCTTCAGAACATTTTCTTTCTGCAGTGATTGTCAGCTGGTCTGGTTACTGCAATGAATGGTAACACTATCCATCCAGCCAACACCACCACAACAGCAGGAGGAGGTCCAAGTATTCCAGCGCCCACAAGAGGCTGGAGGGAATTCTGCGAGCTGAATGCCATCGCCACTGCCCGGCAGCTGGCTGGACACTACCGGAGCTTTGCCAGAGAGTGGCCACAACATGAGGTGCTTCCGCCAGAGACCTTTTCCAAGCAGTTCACTGACCTCTTTCAGAAGCACTTTTGCTGTGAGGTTGACCAAGATGGCTCTCCTCTCAGCCAAAACAGATGCTCTACCTCTACAGATAGTTCCAGTAGTTCCCCACACACTGTTGATGGCCGATTGCGGATTACGTCTTGGTCTGGGGTTCAGGCCTATCGGGAAGCAGGACGTCAAAGTTGTGGAACTGTCCTTTCCACTTTGGTCCCCCAAAAGGTGGAGCCTGTGGTGCTTAGCTGGGAACATGAGCAGTGTGCTGCAGGAAACCCCTTGTCTGGAAATGCAGTGGTGCTCAGAGGATCGAATCTTAGCTTTGGTAGCAATGGCAACGAGGAGGTCTCTTACCCCAGTCATCATCAGGTGTCTGAACGGTACTCATTTGACTCCTCAGCCTCTACCCCTGGACACCCTGATGTCACACACTTCTCTGTCAGTCAGATTCAGCAGACTGTGAGAAGACTCTTTAAGAAACAACCTAACCCCCCCTTAAACCCGGACCTGTCCTCTGGCAACCCCAACCCCAATAACGGCAACAGCAATCCCCCAAATAGCATTGACAGAGTAGGTGGGAATCACCCAACAGGTGAGGAGTTGTCCTCCTCATCCTCCTTCTCCCACTCTTCCTCATGTCTTAACTCAGAGGCTGCTCCACCAGGCTTCTCAAACTGGTCCATGAGTGGAGTAACTTCTCACTTCCTGGATCGTTTACGTTGGCTTCGAAACAGAAGCATGAGACAGAGGAAGGCAGAGGTCAGTGACTGCTGCAAAGAAGGCCAGCTGAGGTACTTATTGGTGGATGACACTATCTCAGACTCTCAGCAACGGTGGCAACACTGCAGACTGCTGGTCAGGCAAATCAAAAGTGCTGGAGGAGGAGGAGGAGGAGAAGAGAGGTACCAGTTGGAGCTCTATGATCCTCCAAAGGTAGGAAAAGTTGTTTGTCCTGTCGTATACCACCTATATACAGTATATTCGACTTAAATTACTTTAATTTGCCTATTAAGAGGCCTTTAGCAGGGTTTTAAGGGAGTGAGGCTATTTGAACTAAAAGCTAAGTTTTTATTTTAAGACTTCCCCCTCAGTCATTTTTTATCAGCTTTCATGTTTTGGTTTCTTTCTTACGCTCCATCATGGTTAAACAACCCAGACACTAATGCGCAAAACATGGCTTCTAATGAACCGGGATTATTGTTAGACTCAGGCTTCTCAAATCTATCTTAGTCCACCACCTGTTCTTTTAATTGTACATAAAAAACAAAAGTAATGTTCAACAACATGTTTTCTTTCAAAAAGAGTGTGTATGCCTGTGTGGCATCAGAGAACAGCAACATCTCTCTCTCTCTCTCTCTCTCTCTCTCTGAGTGACTCCTCACATGAGACATAAAACCCTGCACTGTTTCCAGGTGTGGACAACTGCACGTGTGCGTGCTGTGCAGTCCTCCATGATCCTCCAAACCAGTAATCAAAGTGGTTTAGTAAACTGTTCATCTGATCAGCCATCAGCTTCTATAGCTTTTTCCACACAATATTGCAAGTGATATGAAACAATGTTTAATAGTAAACAGAAAACAAACAAAGTCTATGACAGTATTTCTTTTCTATTAAATTCTCCCTCTCTCTTGTCATACGAGGTAAATTTCAGGCAAATTTGTTTAGTTTGCCAAGTGAGATGTATTAAAGGGAAACTAACTGACTGGATTAAGCAGTGTGCAATATATGAAATATCTTTGTAGATTAAAAAAAGCAAAATATCTCCTAAAAACCCCAAATATACTGTAAAACAATTTGTCTGAGATTTGGAAAAATATTCACCCACACAGACTAATGCACTTAAGGAAAAGTTTCCCGGGCCAAGTTCAAACAAGAGTTTAACGAGTGAGTGAAAAGCAGCAGAAAGGTATTAAAGTTGCTGCTGGTGTTTCTGAAATTTTAAGAACCTCAAGATACATGAATCTCCAGAAGCAGGCATATTTAAAAATAACCTTGTACCTTCTTATACCTTATTTTTACCAATGTTTAAAAAACAATGTTTGTAAAAAGATCGTAAAAAGAAGGTACGATTACACAAAAAAGCAGAGTAAGTGGGCCAAAATAAAAACAGCACTTACTGTATATTACGTATATTAATTTGGAGTCTTAAACTGTGGTTAAAGTTAGGGTTAACATGTGATTCAATGAAGGTTAGACAGTACTGGTAATGGTTATAGATATAGTTCTTATTAGGCTGCACAAATGAGTCAGAGACAGTGCAGTGAGTCCTGAAAAGTAAAACTGTGCCTGTTTCTGGTAAAGCTATACTCGCGGGGACATTTTTTTTTTTTTTTAATCCTTCTGAGGACAATTTGTGAGTAAAATGGTTATTTTGAATCAGTAGGGTCAGATTAGAGTTAGGGTATGTAGTTTAGGCATGTTTGTATTGGGTACAGTTAGGGTAAGGGACCAGGAAATGTTTTCAGACTATGTGCAAAACACAAAATGATCTGTATGTGTATGTGTGTGTGCATATGTGTGCATTCACTTTGTTATATATTTAGCAGCCTATAACCCGAACCATGTAAAGAATTGTGTGGCCAAGAGTGTGTTTGTTTGTGTGTGTACACATAAGCATGCGTGTTTATTCTGAATAGGAATGCAGTGCAGGACCTGTTCCACTGATTGTTCAAAGTGTGTCTATGTGTATGTGTGTGGGTATGTGTACTCTTGGCAAAGCTGACTGAAGGCCCCAAAAATGGCCTTAAAAGGAAGAAGAGCTGTAGATGAGCATATACACATTTTTACAAATACAGAAAAGTTTGCACGTGTTCAAGAGAGGTAATATAAACAAATGAGGTGGCAATGTTGCTGCTCAGCTGTGTTTTAGGGTTTTTAATTTTTGATGCAGTGTGAGTTTTTTTTACACATTTGTGTAAAGCACAGCATGGAAACTAAACACGTTTCACGTTTCAACATAAGTTCAATTACAAAAATTAAATAGTTAAAGTTGTGAAAATGTGGAAAAGTTTCATATCGTTTAACCAGACTGTTTGGTCACATTTAGACTGAAAGTAGGAAATTCAAAAACACATGAAAGTGTATATATTTTATAGGTGGAGTTTGACGACAAGAACAAAAATCAGGAAGTTTCCTTAAAGCGGTGAAGTTCTATTTCACACCAGCACATTGTCTGCATTAATTACTGCAGCTTTGTCCTGTCATTGAGGTTATTGTCAGTCTAGTCCAGGGGTTGGCAACCCGCGGCTCCAGAGCCGCATGTGGCTCTTTCATCGTTCTGTTGTGGCTCCCTGTGACTTCGGAAAATAATGAGTATTTCCATCCATCTATCCATTTTCATCCGCTTATCCGTTACCGGGTCGCAGGGGCAGCAGTCTCCATGACCACCACCCAAATCACACTGCACCGTACCAACCCCCCTAAACCTTCCTGCGGGTGGTGAGTCCACTGGAAGGTACCAGCCGCCCTAACCGGGATTCAATCTTGCCCAGGAGGTGAACCCTGGGGTTCCACACATTGCTTCTGGGTCAAAGCGCCACTAATGAGTATTTAATAAAAATGTATTTCTTATTTTAGTTTGTTCTTTTTTAAATATATTTCTAAATTTGAAAATTTTGGTAATCTTTTAACTTTTTTTTTTTTTGTCGCTGTTGGTGCCGAAAATTACATTATTCAGTCACCACTATTGTCATCTAACTGCCACAGATAGAATGACCTGAAAAGAACCACACCTGACAACGTTGTACTTTTTACTCGCTGCGAGGGGGAGCAGAGAGACCAACAGCTTCGCAGCGCCGGCTCACCCCGGTCCCAAAGTGTATGAGGACTGCAGCTCCTTTTATTGAGAAGGTTTCACAAGTACTGGGCAGTTGTTTTTTCTTTACGTTTTACTCTTAGGGCAAAGTTCATCCGATTCCCATACTGGATGAGAAACAGACCTCATCCTTTATGGACCTACATCGTAAAAAAACCTTTTAGGAGTACCTACTCCTGTCAAGCAGACCATTATTAACACACTTAGATAACAGTTTATGGTTCAACACCCCTTGGTAACTAACTATAAATTCTATTTATAGTCACTCAAAGTTTGTGTTACATCTGCCGATGATCTGGCAGCGCGGATTTATCTCGCACCTACACCACCAGTGTGATTTATTAAGCTTATCGATCCCTGGTAGGTAAATGATGGATAAATCCAAGAAAAGAAAAGTTTCTGAAGAAAACAGAACATTTAATGCTACGTGGGAAGATTCATTTGCTTTCACTGCTGGAGAGTAATATTGAAAACCTTCCCAAACCGGTGTTCGAACCATGGAATGCCATTCTCGACACTTACATGAACATGAAAAGGTATGCATTTGGCAATCTTCGGATCTACATACATACTGTATGAAAGATTCTTGCTGTGCGAGGTGTCTTCAGGCAAGGAGTGGAAGCAGCCGGTAGATGGTCGATTCGTTTTAATAGCAAAACATCAAACAAAACAGGTCCAACAATAAAGCAAAATAAACAACTGGAGAAGTATTCAAGGAAATCTCGTACAACAGTAGTTAATACACAAATCCTGTCAAGAATAACTTCTAGCTTCTCAAGAATAACTTCTAAAGTATCATTAGTTGTTTACGCTTATATACCTGTGTAGGGGGAGTGGTCGAAAACCACTCCCCCTACTTCCCGGGTGTGTTCAAATCTTGTAGGCCAATGGAAGAGAGAGGCTAGGCCTCTTGTGGCCAATCATATTATTGTTGTTGTATCATGTTATGCCTGCAGTTGCCACTATGTGGCACTGTTGTTCCATGATTCAGCATTGTTGGAAGAAGCTTTTGTTGCTGAGTGAGGGGTTATCGAAAGGGAAGTGGACCGAGCCATAAAGTTCAGTCAACCACAGGTGGTCATGTAGATCAAAAGGAATGGATGGCTCTGGGGTTCCCTGTGAGAAGGTAGATTGGGAGATCTCCCATTGTTCCCAGGGAGTAGAGGTGTTTTAGAAAGTTGGTGTGAAGAGAATTTGGGGAAATTCTCTTTGAATGTGTGGGGCTATGTGACTGTGTGTGCTCGGGAAAGCCTTTTGGTGTCTTA